GACCCAAAAAGCGGGTATAGATGCAAATACCCCCAAGTTACCCTATAAAAAATCATCAGCCCTTGACCCATGTAAATGCTCAATTTTAGAGTTCTACCTTGATTATGTGCTGGAAAATATTTTCTAATTTTTGCATATTTGGTTGGTAATTTTCATTATGAATTCGTTTTTCTCCAACGGGAGGAAAATGTCTTCCAGAAGATATTTCCCCTATGAAAACTAGGAAAAATATTTTTCAATACTCTTTTTCAACCTTCCAAAACTAACTGTTGTTAACAAAAAAGTCATCAACATGAAAAAAAATCTAAAAAGAAAAAAGAAAACATTATCACAACATAAGAAATACCAAATAAAATTTATATCAATAAAATAAAGAACGGGTACTGAGTTATTTTTTAGGTATCACAATAAAATAAAAGAAAGTACTCATTTTATTGAAATGAAAGAAAATACCTTTTCTACAACATGAAAAAAAATATTCTTTTTGTTGAAATAAAAGAAAATACTTTTTCTACAACAGGAAAAGAAAGTACTCATTTGGTGAAAAAGAAAATACTTTTTCTACATCATGAAAAAAAAAGTATTTTTTTTTTGTTGAAACAAAAAAAATATTTTTCTACAACATGAAAATAAAGTACTCATTTTGTGGAAAAAAAAACTTTTTCTACATCATAAAAAGAAAGTACTTATTTTAGTAAATAAAAGAAATACTTTTTCTATATCATTAAAAAAATTATTCGTTTTGTTGAAATTATTAGGCAGGATACTCTATCTACAACATTAAAAAAAAAATACTTTTTTCTATAACAAAAAAAGAAAGTACTTATTTTATGAAAAAAAAATACCTTTTTTACATCAAGAAAGTACTCTTTTCATTAATTTTTTTTTTCTACAACATGAAAAGGAAGTATTCATTTTATGAAAAAGAAAATACTTTTTCTATATTTATTTATTGAAATGAAAGAAAATACTTTTTCTAGATCATAAAAGGAAAATATTCATTTTGTTGAAATAAAAAAAGAAAATACTCTATATTCTACAACATTAAAAGAAAGTACTCTAAATGATATTTCTATTTAGTGTTGGCATGGGGTGGGGGTTGGGGCGGTGGGAGGGGGT